CATATCGGTTTTGTGTTTACTTGTTTAGTGAAATTGTGCCCAAGTTTTTTGTCATTTATTAGGTGATGAAAGCACTTGAACAGATGACAAGAGGGGTCCAATGGGGATCTCTCGATGTTCTTGTGGTGGACATGCCACCTGGCACCGGTGATGCACAAATTTCCATTTCCCAAAGATTGCAATTGTCCGGTACTCAACGCCTCAGTTTTTTCTTTTTGAGTAGTACATTTAGTTTATCTTCATATTCTATATTCAGTGTTTTTTCTTCACCAAGTGAAGAAACAACTCTGTAAGTTCTTGAAATGGGGTGTTTGGACTTTTGGAATTTTGATTGTACTGATTTACTACACGATTGCTCTTCCATTCTAACCCAAATAACAACTTATTATATAAGATCATTTTGGGATCTTGTGGGCAGGAGCACTAATCGTCTCAACTCCTCAGGATGTTGCACTGATGGATGCTAGGAGAGGAGTTAGAATGTTCTTGCAAGTTAATGTGCCGGTATTTCCTTTGCCCCCACATAGCTCAAGCTTTTAGCATATGCACGCACGATAAGCACAACAAATCTCGTTTCATAATGATTCTTTTTTTTTTTGTTTGTATGTGTGTGTGCGCTTAATTTCCCGATATTGCGATTTGTGTCCCGCAGATTTTGGGAATCTTGGAGAATATGAGCTACTTCAAATGCCCCAAGTGTTGTGAGCCTTACTATATTTTTGGGAAGGGTGGGGCCCAGAGGATTGCCGACAAGATGGGAATGGCATTTCTTGGTGAGGTAATTTTTGACGATTTTTGGCATTTTACACTTCTCACTCAGTCTCAATGTTTTAGAGTAGTCTAAGGCTGTATTTTGGTAAGCATATAAGTTTGCTTATAACTTGTTTGATTATCTTACAAGTTTCTGTATTCAAATAAGCTTGGTATGTCCATTGCAAATGGAGCTGAAAGAGTCATTGTTGACAATTCTCCTGGCATAGTGCTAATAATGGACTAGACCAAAATGGCTCAATTAAATTCTAGTGCTTCTTCTATTAGTGAAGTTTCTAGAAAAAAAAATATCAAACGACGCAACGCACCTTGGGTCGCTATGGAAACAGTCTCCTTGTATGATTACAAGGGTAAGGTCTGCGTACAACTGACCCCCCAGACCTCCCAGACCCCAACCTGTTGGAAATATACTGGGTATGTTGATGATTATGATGATTCAAATAAGCTTGGTTTGGTATGACGAACTTTTTTAAAGAAGTCGAACTTATCTCATAAGTTTCCTTGAATAGCTTTTCAATAAGCTTATTGTAATTTTTATTTCAGCATATACTTTTACCAAACACTTCTATTGTATAAGCTAACTTTTCACCCATAAGTCATAAGTTATTAGCTATAAGCTCAAAATTCACTTAAAAGCTATAAGTTATCTTATCAACTAGGTTTACTTGACATAAGCCTAAAGTATGAAAAAGAAAGAGTCCGTAAAAAGTAAAACCAATGGTGATTTTTTTTTCTCCGAACAAATGATTCTATAGGTGCCTTTGGAGACAGGGATCAGAAGTGGGTCGGACGAGGGTGTACCTATTGTGATATCAGAACCCGATTCCTTCGTGTCCCGGGCTTATGATGATGTGGCACAAAAAATCGTGGGCCGGCTTGAGCTTACGAAACAGCAATACGCCCCACCGGAAATAAATCTTTAGAGTTGTGCAAAAATATTGACAAGTTCTTTAGGGGGTTTTGATCTCAGTCGTGTTTTATATACAGCTCGTCTGGCTTAAATATATCTCTTATACACAGCTGAGTTTTATGCAATCAACAAGAATGTTTGTTTTTGCTGTTTGTTAGTTTGTTTTTTTATTTTTAATTTTTATTTTAATTAACGAGATCGTTAATTCCAATTTTGATGGTTGATAATGTGGACGAATGAAGTGTAATATATTACATTCTGGTTTGACAGTCTTTTTTTTCTGT